CCATATTAGGGAGTTTTGAAAATCCCAATAGTTGTCTATTTGTGCCTTTAGATGTCTAAATACCTTTAGAAATGCCTAACTCTGCAGATTCTAATTCATTTAAATGAAACTCTGAACTTTCTGTTGCTTATATGCATTTATGGGTCTGTGTATTGCTAAATTCAAAATCTGAACTGAAAAGTTTATTTTAAAAAAGTATCTCAGTATAGGTATATCCATACGAGGAGGAAGATAAAACCTCCTGTACTGATAGAAGGTACTTTATGCTGCCTTATCACTTGTACATTTTGGGTTGTGCCATATGACTGCACCAGTAAAGTATCATCACAAACCAAAACACTTCTACCAAGAGAAAAATCTTGCATAGACTAGGCCTAAGTGAAATTTGGTTTTGAGAGGCTGAGGTAGGGCTGCGCTTTGCTGAACCAAGCTCACAGGTGACTGAAACACTGGCTGAAGCCCTAAATGAAAGAACATCTGTCCAATTACACAGAGAAGTTCCCCCAGAGAGGGGCTCCCCAGGGAGTCTTACTGCAGAGAGTACCAGCAGATGGGCAATTAAACACCCCACAGCTGGCAAAGGCAATAAAGTGAATTGAATCTCCAGGTGGCACTTGGCAGGAAGCATGTTGTTCTTTGATGCTGGCAGTATGACAGGATTTCAGAGAGGGAAAACACACCAGACCAGGCGGGGAAACTCCTCAATCATTAACCATTTTGTGGAATCAGTGCACAGGTCATGTTCTTAAGTGACTGTGTTCTTGTTAGTAACAATACACTTAAAATTTGTGCCCAAACATGATGTCCCCCCTAATGAGGGCTTTAGTTATCAAAAACTGGCCTTTCTATAACATTTTTCATCTGAGGATCTCAAAGCATTTAACAAAGATTAATGAAGACTCAACAAGTGTCCATTATATCCATTCTCCAAGGGAAAATTAACACACAGGGAAGTTTGACTGACTCAATATTAGGACTGGAGATATAATCCAGAACTCGTGCTCCAAGTGCTAGGAATGAGAAAAGCACCAAATGTTCCATCCAGGCAGGAGCTATTTGCCAGTTATGAAGCATGGAAGTGGTTCTGAACACCGTGCATTGGTTCTGCTCCATTGAAGTGGTAGCTTTCATTTTGGACTGACCTGGTTCTGTTTAGAAACCCATTCAAGAGCTGCTTTGAGGTACAAAATCTACAAGATAAAGGATTTGCATTATAGTATCTCCCTTCCATATCTCCTCCAGAATGAGGAACAAGAGCATTGCATCTTTGATGCTTCTGGGGACAGAAAACCTACAGAAGTAAAATTTCATAGATTTCATAGACATTTGGGCTGGAAGGGGGTGGGGATCAGAGTCCAGCTCCCTGCCCCAGGGACAGGAAGTCAGCAGGGATCATAGGATCCCAGCAAGATAAGCATCCAAATGTGTCTTGAAGGCATTCAAAGTGGGTGCTTGAACCACCTCTGGCAGCGGTGTATTCCAAACCTTGGGGGCTCGCACAGTGAAGGAGTTCTTTCTTAAGTCCAGCCTGAATCGGTCGCAGCGAAGTTTGTGACCGTTCGATCTTGTCAACCCTTGGGATGCTCTGGTGAACAGATGTTTCTCCAGATCCTGGTGGTCACCCCTGATAAACTTATAGGTGACCATCAGATCACCCATGAGCCTGCACTTTTCCAGGCTGAAGAGTCCCATGGATCTCAGCCTCTCATCGTAAGGTCTGTTTTCCTGACCTCTGATCATGTGCATGGCTCTCCTCTGCACTCTCTCAAGCTTCTCCACACCCTTTTTGAATTGTGGAGCCCAAAACTGGACGCAGTACTCCAGCTGTGGCCTCACCAAGGCTGAGTACAACGGGAGAATGACATCCCGGGATTTGCTTGAGAAGCACATATGGATGCAAGCAAGCATTTTACTTGCTTTACTAGCCACAGCATCACACTGAAGGCTCATGTTCATCTTGTGGTCAATCATGCCCCCCCCCCCCCCAAAAAAAAACAACAAAAAACAACAAACAAACAAACTGTACACATCATATTGCTCTGGTAGGTGATCTTTTTAAGATCTGTTAAAATAATTCTGATTAAATGTATTTAAAAACACTTCTCCATTGAAGTAATTTATACAAATAGATAGTAGAACGATACCTTCTCAATTCACTTTTTGTTCTTATAGACAGGATTTGTGATAAGGAAAAAAAATCCACCCCTCTGTTCCCTCTTTGAATGAATCAAAAGTACTTAGGTAAAATTTCAAAGTTAGGAAGAGGCAGGACTGTTTTCCCAAGTGATGTGACTGCTTATGGTACACTGCATTGCAAAATAAATTGTGAAGTCTACTGAGCATTCTCAAGCCATTTGTATACTCCTGTGCTTGGATAATTCTCAAGAGAAGAGTTCTCTTTTTAAAAATGTTCCATTAAATTTTGTAGCTTGGCTTCCCCACCTGTGTAATCTTCCTAGCTGGTTATACTAGCATCCATGGTAACCACCATAGTAACAGAGTTCAGCTCACTCCTGCAGGGTCACTAACATGCTCTCTCAGGATTAGAGAGACCAGATCTGGCACAGAGGGCCATATTCTTCTAATTTAAAATGGTGTAAAGCTTGAGTAATCCCAATGAAGTACATGGGCCAAATTCTGCTCTTTGTTTTACCAATGTAAGTCAGAAGAAGCTTCATGAAAAAGCCAAACATGCACCAAATTTTGCTCTCATTCACTCTTGTCATTTCAGATGAGCTCAATTTTTGTCGCTCTGTTTGCTTTTTCCTATTTGACTAATAGGGGAAACTGCCAAATCCAGATTCTGCTGTGGTGCTGGCCATCTGAGCACCTGCACAGATAAGGTCACTCCAGAGTTATGCCTAACTGAGTAAGAGCAGAGTGTGGTCTCCCCACTGCACAAGTCAGTAAGTAGAACATCTTTTGGGTAAAGGAGGATTAGTTTCTTGTTTCATGGCACAGTGATTTGGTTCTTTACTTCCAATATACCCTTTATTTAAAAATTTGCAAACTGCATTTAAAAAAAACTTGCAACATTAATATATGTTTACAGCCTAGGAAATGGATAGTAAATTCTCATCCCTGAACCCAGTAGCAGACCCCCACAACATCATCCCTTTGACTGTCTTGGGAAGATGCCAAACCAAATCTGGGGGAAGTCATGGGGTGGATGCCTCCCTTCTACCCCTCCTTGTACTTCCAAGAAAAGGTGGGCAAAAGCAGCAACAACCCTAGGCACAATGTGATTCCAGACAGTCAGACCTTTTCTACCTTATTCTAGCTTTCCACTCTTATCCCCACTGACTTTACCGAAGCCGGTCCTAATCAGCTACAGAGTGTGAATCAGGCACATCGTTTTTTATTTCAGTCACCAACACCCCAAGCACCAAGTTGCAAACCACAGCCTAGGAGGGTTGTTGTACACATCTCACTTCTGTCATTTAGGTCATCGTTTCCAGAACCTGATTGACATCTAGACTGAAAGAAAAACTAGAAAGCCCTAAACCAGAGGCAACTCAACCTCAGGCACTTGCCCTCACCATCATTTTGATTAGTCTTTTTTTTTTTCTTCGAAGCTACAGCGTACTTGGCCAGGACATAGTACCTCTTCCCTGGTTCCTTGTGTAGAATAAGGGCACTGTTCTGGGGAGAGAAAAATCTCTGTATTTTCTGGGCTGGCCTGGCCAAACAAGGTTTGAGCTGAAAAGCAAACACTGAAATTAATCTGCCTTGGAAATACCTTTTAAGACTTTAGCAAGGCAGAGAGATGAAGGTGTCAGAAAAGGAGGCCAGGATAGTTTGACCAAGCAGGAGAAGAGAGGGAGTTTTGAAGCATTGCCCCAGCTCTTCCCACCCTGGAAAGTTTCCTCTCCCAGGTCATCAGTTTTGCCCGGTCTAAAAGACTTTGAATACAGGAGGAGGACTCGCTGCTGGGGACAGCGATCCAAGCGCTGCCTGCCAGGCAGGGCTAACAGCCCCCTCCCCAAGCGAAGAGCAGCCCAGCGCCCCCGCCGGATGCCTCTCGCAGCCCAGCCTGACCGGCCACTGGGGCGTCCGAGCCCCTGCATCCCTCCGGCTGCCCTGCCTGGCCCCTGCCAGGAGCCTCCAGCGGGCACCGGCGGAGCTGCCCTACCTGGCCGCGGTGCCGTCTGTGCGGGCGGGAAGGCGAGAGCAGGAGGCGCCTCCAGCCCAGGATGGCATCGGTGCCAGTGGCACGCGGGGAAGGGAAGGGAAGGCGCCAGGCGGCCCGGGACCCCCGGCTGCACCCTGCCACCTCCTCCTCCCGCGCCCCGCGCTCCCCGGGGCCCCGAGCGCGGCGCCTCCTTAACCCCTTGCTGCCCGCGCCCGAGCGCGGGGAGGCGGCTGGGCCGGGCCGGG